GAATACGGAACCAAAAAAACTCCCGTTTATATTTATAATTAATAGCCTTTTGCTTTTATAAAAAAGTCTCAAGCACACACTTCCCCTATTAAATGGTTGAAATGTGGAGAAAACTTTTAAATAATAAATAATCATCCCAAAATATTCTATTTCAACAAAAATGTGTTAACATAAATATTGCATCTATAAACTTTTATGAAAGGTGTGTCTCTGCGAGAATAATAATATATCATCATCATCTCACTATTAAAAATCAGTCATTAAACTATTTTATTGATAAAGATAAAAATTAAAAGTTTTATTTGCAAAGTCGATTCTTTCTTTTATCAGAATTATTACTAATATATGATGATAATGTCATTGAAGTCAGTAAAGATGATAATGGAGAATAGAAGTAGTAGAAAGGGTAATTTTTGCCCGATTACTATAAACAATTATGTACGGAATAGTAATTATAATAAACGCTGAATACATACTGAATACACACGAAAAAACGTATTTCTGATCCTGAATTCATTCAGAAAAACACATTTTTGATACGGAATACATATTACTACTAATAGTAATAGGGGAAAAATGCACTTTTTCGTGCCTAAAAATGCGGCACCTTCCCATATGTTATTTCGTATTAACAATGCGCTTTTCTAAATTAAAATGCATTCCATACCATTTCAGTATACAGTGTTTATCGCCGAAAGAGATATTCTACAGGTATATTTCTCTAAACAAAATTTTCGACCAAGAAAAGATCCAATGCTAGTATTGATCGCTGCGGCAAATGATTATGTTTTATGCCCAAGATGAAACCTTAAAAAAAAGAGAATAATTAAGTTTTGCACGGGAATTTATGGGACTAACTTAAGATTAATATAAAGTTAGCTGGTTATGCAAATAATTACCAAATTTGTCGATTAATATTAAATATTAAAATATTTAAAAAATTATGAATGAAGCCAGAAGGGAAAAAACATTTTGGTTTGGTTACTCCATTAATACTATATATATAAACAGAATAAAACTTTGGGGAGTAATTACAACCCTACAATTCATTTGCATAATAATGAACGAACGATTGGAAAATTTTCAAAAGTCTATAAAATATAATAATGATTTTTTTGGATTTTATTATTATTTATAATTTTATTTATTTGGTGATTGTTTTTTTTTACCAAACCACCTACACGTAACGAAAAAAGTTTCATATTCATTAAATTCCTCGATACTTTGCTTCATCATATCTTCATATTCCTTGGACGTTATTTTCATGTAATTAAATAATGCTGGTCCTATCGCTGTCATTCTTGTGACTATATCTTCTTTTCCCTATTATTGACATATTAACACATTATTATATTATTGGTTTGTAAAATAAATAAAAATAAACAAACGATTTTTATTTTTACGCTTACCACTTGACCGATTCTTCCACCCCATTCGCCTATTGGAATTGTCTTTTTTTCATGATATACCTATTATGTGTATTCATTATGGTAATAATTTAATATGATTATATTTAAATTTAATTAAATTATTATTACTTCAACTTACTTCTTCAAAATGTTCGGATCTTTCCATAAATTTACCAAGTAATTGAGCAATCAAAAGAATTATGCATTTCCTGAAAAAAAACCATTAAAGAATTTTTTAATATTAGGTAATTATCAATTGGTTGTGCAAATAAATCCTTCTGTGGTTTGTGATCATAACAATGATGCGCAATAGTAATTGACAACTAAATCATAATTTTGTTGAAAATAGTTTTTTGATTCTTTAAATATATATATTTAAAAATCAAAGTAATCATTAATTATAAATTATATATGATGGCAACAAATGATAAATGATAAATGCTTGCCGAGTGAGTTAAGAGAGTTAAGAAAGATTTCTTTTATAG